AGACTTATATATATATATTCTTATTCTTTGAGAGAGAGACAAAGTGAAACCCTCACTTAAACACTGCTTACCTCAGGTTCCCCGTGTTTAAAAAGCATTTGGGGTGAAAATGGGGAAACATTCTCCAGATTATGGAAGCTCCTACAAGTGCAACAAACAGATTTTCAGTACTGTACAAACGCACTGGGATAATGGATGGGCTCATTTTAATAGAATAAGCTGCATATACTCTGTTCAATTATTTTCTGGTTTGTGTGTTATGAGCGAAACCCTGTTACCACATGCGTGGTAAGTCTGTGAATGCGTTGTGCAGAATGGGCCATTTCTGTCTCTTGGCAGGGAACAGATTACACAGTATTACAATTATTAAAATTCTAATTTGGGGCCAGGTTTTGCCCTCAGGTACTTCCTTAATTTCAGGAGGAGTCGTGCATATTTATCTGATTGAAGAATTTGGACATTAACATTCTTTTATTCTTTCACAAGAATATGCACCAGCCAAACCTAAAATCTGAATACAGCAGGGATAGGATTCCTATCAGGAGACAAATGTCAGTAACTGCTCTGTTTTGATAAGGTAAAGCGATTTCCTTGTAAGGGAGTGGGAGATGGAGCAGAAGGAAGGAAAGAAGGATCTTCTTCCAGATCCCTTGTAGGCTTGTTTTTAAATTACAGCTTCGGATCTAACAACAGGTTTGGCAAGTGTTTGCTTAGCAAATGCTGAAACTATGCCAGGTTTTCTTTGCTGGTTTGTTGTAGAGTGTGCATTTTTAAAATACACTGTAATCATTTCAGACCACGTAATTAGAAACACAAAGCAGTTTACTGAAACATAGTGATATATTAAGAGTTCAGTTAATTACATGTAAAGAAACAGGATAAACTTCAAAACCTTTACGCAGTTGCTATTTTATTTGCAACTGGGGCATGTTGATGGGACTTTGCCTGCTTAACACTGAGTAGGAGTTTAGAATTTTAACCTGAGGGTAAAATTTTCAAAAGCATTTAAGTGACTGGCTCAGTGAAAATCTATAGGACTTTTACTCCTTAGGGCAACATTTTAGAAAGTATGTAGACACCAAAGTCCAGTTTACTTCAAGGTCTATGTATATCAAAAAATACCTCCTTACTGCCTCAAATATCTTAAAAATAAAAATAATAATAAAGAAAAACACATGACATTTCAGTGCCATCTGAGTTACCCCAGTGTTATCCCAAATAGACAAGTTATTTCTCTCATAGCTTTACAACTTGTAAAACCCTCTTTTGTTTTTATTTCCTCCTCAGTGTAGGCAGAAAATCACAGAACATGCTTTGGGGAACAGTAAGCCACACTGTCTTCAGTCTGGTAATAAAATCTACTTTACATTTTCTGATAATTTCCAAATAAACTCAAATATTTCCCCTTTTTTAGTCTATATTTCTCATCTTTTTTTGATGGAAGTGATGAATCGCTTCCTTTGAAGCCAAAGCCTGACCTAAATTATTCTGTCTACATTATGTATAAGAGAAAGTGGAAATAAATAAAACTGAAAAGCAAAATCTTCAGGAGCGGAAAAAGACATAAATCAGAACTAATTAACCACTCTCATTAATGAAAATATATGTTGTGCTTTCTGTTGAATCTCTCAAATGTAATTTACTGAGAAAATTAAAAAGAGACATTTAATTCTGAAAAAAAAGTCAGTATTCAAAAAATCTTTGGTTTGGGAATTTGCGGGGGTTCTCCTCCTCCTCTAACATGTTTTCTGCGTGAGCTTTAAAGTATGCTAACTTGTTTCACAACAGCTTACAAGTTCTCAACAGTTACATTTATTACAATTTTACCTCACTTTCAGACAAGCTCTCTTATCATGCTCCAAATCACATTTTACACTACTTTGAAGTCTGTTACTAATATGCTTATTGCTTAACAGAAAATAGCCTGACAGTCATCTCTGTTTTAAGGTGCAAAATAATAAATGTCAGTCTGTTTTTTGAGCCTGCATTTTGGAAAGAAGTCAGAATTGCAATGCTCTAATTGTCTTCTCTGTGGGTTTAATGATAAAAACACAAAAATGAATTTTATTCCTTCTTTTCTCATGCAGCCTTCATTCTAATCCTTGCCATTCCATGCCACTGTTAGTATAAGGCAGGTCCAAATTACTGAAAAACTGTGAATTCCTTCTTCTTTTGTGCATGTTCTCTGCACGAGTTGCAAAGATGAGGCTCTCCGGTAGTCGTTTGTCATGTCAGTGCATCCTCTGCTATTCCCTGTGGCTCTTCTACGCTGCCAGACAGGTGTGTGCGCTCTGCACAAAACTTTGCCCTTCAGACATCGTTACAGTGCCTAAGAGACGTGGAGGATAGCACCCTGTCAGGCTTACAAATGACCATGGAGTCATCTATGCAGAAGGGAATTCTCTTTGGGTATGTTAGCAGAACACATGTATTGTGTGTCATGTATTCTACATAAGTAGAGAGAAGTATGTGTTTTTCTGTCACAGAAAATGACAAACACAAGATTTAAGGTGTGAATAACTCTGGATCTTATTCTCTGTAAGAATGATGAATTATTTTACCGCTCTATTCAGATCCATGAGAAGCCAGGCTGTTAAGATACAAGAAGCAGTTAAGTAGAAAAAAAAAACCCACATAGATAAGGTGTACCTCTTTATCCCTGGTACATGTACAAACATTTACATTAATCCAGTTAGCAGGTGGGAAGCCTTCCCCACAGCCACCTTTCCAGGATCTGAGTAAACACCAGGCTTTACGCCACGCCGAGCAGCAGAAGGGAGCTCTCATGGATCTTTAAGAGCTGTGAAATCCAGCCTTCTGTGCCCTTTACTCTGAGCATTCATCCCTCCCGATGCAGATACAGCCACTGTGCCCTGGCTGATCTTAAGTGTCATAATGACAGATAAAGAAGAGAGAATTTATTGCCTAGGACTCAAAGCATATAGGTTTTATAGATCAATAAGAACATCCTGAGCTATGCCCGGAGGCAAAAAGGAAGCCAGTACAGACTTCAAAGACCTTGTGTAATATATTCCTCATGGCCAGTATTACAGATTAAGCACACAGCAATGTTCTACATGAATCTGACTGGAATAAGGACAGACTATGCATTGTATTAGTCGTTTTTTTTTTTTTTTTTTTTTGGAGGCTACAAAGGCATAGGTAACTTAGAGCCTTCACCTCATCCCAATTACCTAAATAAAGATAGAAAAAATTGCTTTAAATCTAGGAAATGTTCGTCAGCTGAGCTAAGTCAGCTGAGTTAAGAAACACCTTTTGATCATGGGTTTTGCTAAGGAAGAGCATTACAATTTGACAGTCCAGCATTTATTCCCCTCATGCGACTTCTGATCTCTTTCAGGAAAACAGACAAAATGAAGGGCTTCAAACTCAAGGTTTGACAACACAATGTACAAAGTCAGTGAACTGACAAACTCCTCAGTAGCCTGCTCACTTCTCAAAGAGGCAGACTAACAGTACCGACGTGGGCAGTGGAATCATGGGATTTTGTACAGTATTTGTACTAAGTGGAAAGTACAGAAGAAATTAAAATAATATCTGCAGCCAATTTGTGCATAGAAAAATGCTTTTTACAAAGGCTGTCTTGAGGTCTTCCTTCTCTAAGTAATAAGAGCAAGATAAGCACGTGTCAAACTTTATGCTTGTTTTTAACCCAAATCTGAAAGGATGAAAGAGAAAGCTAAAAATGGTAAGCTGTAGCAAGATGCAGTCCTTGCAGATGCAGTCCTACGAGCAATCCAAGTTCCCACACTTTTTTTCCTGGAAGAAGATTATATGCCTTATTTCAAACAACACAACTATCAAGGAAACTTCTGACTTTCCCAAGTCCTGCGTAACGTGGGAAAAGCTTTCTAACTAGGAAGAGGTCCCCTGGCTGGTATCCACAGGTACTGCAAAAACCTGAAAATGAATTCCATGTTTTTAATTATATTGTGTCAGTTCAGCACAGAGACTATCCTACAGAGAAGGTGAGATATGTGAAGCTCTGTGAACATGAGAAAAAATGAAGTAGAATGTGAACATACACATAGCAGATCTTTGGTTAGCTGTTGCTTAAGATAAATAATGATCAAATATTAATGGTTCTGTAATGTAATTCTTTGACAATTTGTTTATGGAATCTTTCATTTTCTACATAGTTTAGAGGAAAGGTAACATTTATACCTTCACTTTGGGGCTAAATAAGATGTTCCATGAGACCAGCGCATTGTTGGGATTTAGCAGTGATCCCACTCCTCCACACACTGCCCTGCTGAAGGATGTCTGCCTTGCAACATTCTTGTTATTCCAGAACTGGGTTGGGCTAGTCATAATAGATGCAGGCAATCAACTCACTTCCCCACACACAGCTCCACCAGTAAAACTCACTTCACCGTGCAACACTCCTGTTTTTCTCGTGCCTTCTAAGCAAAAGCAATTTGGTACTGACTAGATCTGTCCTTACTCCTGATGAAAGCCATGGTAACTTCTGTAGTGATGCAAGAGGAACATGGTGCTGATGCAGATGAACGTTTGCTTGTGACTAGGAAGAAACAAACTTGTCTTTGAATTTCTAGGGTTTTGATCCTGGCAGTAGAGGTAACTGATCTGTGTTCCAGTTCTGCTTTCATTACAGCTAATAAAATACAGGATGACTCTATAGATAGCAGTGAGATTAGATGCTAATCTTTATATGATGTTGACTATTGCACAGTTATGCTTTTTGCAGAGAAAAAAGTTTCCATTTATTTAGAACACTACAGCTTTCAGTGTTGATCACAGTTGTTTTATTTATAATGAAAATCTATAGAACATTCACCACTGATGCAAACAAGCAAACAAGCATTGGCCTACTGACAGCATCTCAGCTTACACCAGTGTTTGGATTTGGGCCATGAAATTTCATGGAAAATCAAATAAGTGTGTGACATAGTAAAATCACATGTCAAAATAAGGACTATTCTTTCCTCTTTGTTTTCCTTTTTTACATGAAATAATACATTATTATACAATATACAACAATGCTCTAGGCAATGTACAAAACGAAAAAAAGATGAGTTTGGTGAATGAGCATAGCGTGAGGCTATGAATATGGATATGTTTGCACTAGAGCCTAGAGGAGATGCTTTTTATGCGTGGTGATACAGAACTGCATACTTGCAACTGCGCACACCAGGGAAAGAATATTCCCCTAAAACAAGGAGTTTCTCTAGCAGTGCTCCTTGTTGATCAAAGCTGCATAATTTAAAGCAGCTAGAGGCAACTTTAAATTATTCACAATACATTTTTTGTGAGTGATCTTGGTATATAGCAGACAGCTTTTGGGTTACCAGCAGTTTCCTGTAAGTTCTGTAAACTCTGGCATCCTTACAGAACCGTCGAGTTTTCTGAAAGGCACATTCGAAAAGAAGGGAAGTCACTTTGCACAACAGTAGCCGAAGGGACCCATTCTGCCACTTCGTGTTAGTCACATCGCACAGAGATGCTGCGCATGCAAGGCGACACGGGACGGCGGGGCAGAGCCTCTCGGTCCCAGACCCAGCGTTCCCGTGCGGTTCGCGACAGCTTCCCGATACCCTCAAAAGCCCCAGGCAGGAATCCTGCAATTAGCGCATCTAACTCCTCCTTTACTGCAAGCTTCTCTCCCATTGGTAAAAGGTCTTCCAGGCTCATGTGGGGATCCCACCCCTTTTGTGGGTTTTCATTCTGAAGCTATCCACAACTTTACACCTGAATGAATGCCAAGCCTTTCTGAATATATAAAGGAAACCTCGAAGAGCAATTTCAGAGTTACCGAGAACAAGCAGAAGAAAAACATTTCATCCGGCTCCGTCAGACAGAGACCGAACCAACCATGCTTCTCCCCGCCATTCACTTCTACGGCTTACTCCTAGCTTGCACCTTCACTAGAAGCTACTCGGCTTTCAAGAACGATGCCACGGAGATACTTTATTCCCACGTTGTTAAGCCTGCCCCCGCGAGCCCGAGCAGCAACAGCACGTTGAATCAAGCCAGGAACGGAGGAAGGCACTACGCCGGCACGGGCTCCGACCGTCACAGTGAGTATCCCACCGGCGGCCCCTCCACCGCGGCTTCTGGTCCCCGGCCCCGGAGCCCTCCGAGCACAGCCCCGGGGAGCGGGCCGAGGGAAGATGCTGCTGCCAGTGGCTCTGCTCCGTCTCGCCCCCGAGCACGCCGGCCCCTGCAAGTCCTGTAGGACCGGCTCTCGGGCAGGTTGCTTCCCCAGGGAAGTTCAGCCAGGTTTGGTGGGTTATCCGGCAGGGAAGAGAGATAAAGGGAAAGGAGCGGGAGGCACTTCCAAAGCGCTCGCTTTCCTAACTCGCCCTCCCGCTGCGGGCAGGGGAGGTGTCTGGGCTACTTCTCAAATGCAATAAATAAACTCTGAATTTTGTTCCCGCCGTTTAGTTTTACTTCCTGCTGTAGCACTCACTGCTTAACACCTCCAGCAAAAGTAAACAAATCAGCTCATCATTTACCTATGAGCTCTGCTTTAACTTGCCTTTTTGTTTCTGGTCCTTTCCCGGTGAGTTTATGTCTGTATGTTAGATACATGGGGATCTGGAAACATTCTGCTTTCTGTTCCCTTCCCTGCCTGCCTCCTTAAAATGAAAGATATCCAAACAGACACACACCCACCCACAACGATTTGATTAAAAATAGCGTCATCCCTGGAAAGTGAAGGTAAAAAGTGACACGGATACCTTTCAGCTAAGCCAGGTGTGTCAGCTTCTATGAATGCTAAGGGTTTAAGTGCACAGGAAACATCTCATCATTATGAGATTACTGGAGCAGCCCAGTAGGCATTCACTGTCAATGAGCTGTCACTAGAGAAAAGCTGAGCCAGTAAAGGCATAAAAACAGGAGAGACAAACTCAAATCTCTTACTAGCTGCTTCCAGGTACATTCCTGAGTGCAGCTGCAGGAAGGCAAGCATGAATTTCTTCTGTGAGTCAGACAGGAGGCCACTGCTGCAAATGGCCCCTCAGCTCAGCCTGCAGTCCCCACAGTCTGCCCATCCTGAGACACAGGCCAGGGTGAAGTAAACTCATAACCTCAGCTCTGTGCCCTAGTTCAGAACCTGCTTACAAAAATCCAAGTAGAAACAGAAGCAGCCTGTAGCAGTGATATGTAGATGTACCTTCAAAGAGTTTTATGATTCACTCTGAAATGTTTCTAGTAATTACTCCTATTTTAAAGGCGTTAGTTAATTGCACTGTGTGTAGAATTTGTGCCATAATTGTCCTTCGGAAAGAGGGAGAGCATAGCCAGTAAAAATTGCTTATTACAATTAAGTGCGCTGTGGGCGTTTATTTCAAAGTGTAATTACTGAAATAAACAGTTGTGTTTATTGCAGGGTGCAGGGCTGCACATACAGACGGGTACAAACTTGCCTGTATTAGAAGCTCTGCATTTTGCTTCTCTGTCGATTGCCTGAGAGAATTTGCAGGATCCTCTATGTTACCTATAATAAAAAGACTACTACAAATAGAAAGATGGTGTTTCCCTGTGGGCATGTTGGTCACACTGAAATCACTGCTGCTAACCATTCAAACTGTATGCAAAACACCATTCCCCAGGAACTTCAGCTGTTGTCACTTTTACAGTATCTGTGTTCAGAGCAATAGTGCTCATGGGAGACTCAGTCTGCTGAAACTATGGAATGAGAAGAAGCACTATTTAAAATTAATTTAAAAGCATATAAACAGTTTCCAAAGCACTGTTTCCCACTCGCTAATGATACAACATTATTGTTGTAAACATCACAGAGCAAGTTCCCTAGACTGAGAACAAGGAGGAAACATTTCTTCCCTTGGGGCATTTTTTCTCTTCCAAAAGGTATGTCCCTGAGAAGAACAGAGAATAAAATTGCCTCTTCTACCACAACTGCTGAAGCGCATATAATTACCATTTCTTTATACTGTGGTAACACTCAGAGATACCATCAGTGCTCAAGGCCCTTGTGTTGGGGGTCACAACATTAAAAAGATATCCTAGCCTACTTCAACTACTGCAAAATGTAGCTTGTTAGGGGGAAAATGACCGGTTAAGGAAATCTTTGTGTTCTGAATCTCATTTTTTATTATTGTGTGCATTCTGCAGATCGCGTTCAAGTTGGCTGCCGGGAACTGCGATCCACCAAGTACATTTCAGATGGCCAGTGCACCAGCATCAATCCCCTGAAGGAGCTGGTGTGTGCTGGTGAATGTCTCCCTTTGCCGCTTCTGCCCAACTGGATTGGAGGAGGTTATGGAACCAAGTACTGGAGCAGACGGAGCTCGCAAGAGTGGAGATGTGTCAATGACAAAACTCGCACCCAGAGAATCCAGCTGCAGTGCCAGGATGGAAGTATAAGAACCTACAAAATAACTGTGGTCACGGCCTGCAAGTGCAAGCGATACACCAGGCAGCACAATGAATCCAGCCACAACTTCGAGGGAACCTCTCAAGCAAAGCCTGTCCAGCATCACAAAGAGAGAAAAAGAGCCAGTAAATCCAGCAAACTTAGTACAAGTTAGAAGTCAGAGGTTCTCTCCTCTCCTGCTCTTCCTGCCAAAACTGAACTCACCTGTAATCATTTGCTTTACAGTTCTGACTGCTTAAAGACAAGTCTGCCATTGCTTTGTTCTCAGATGATACTGCACGCTTATTGTTTTGACCAAAATCAAAAGGGGCATTCTCAGCATATGGACCTTTTCGGGTGATTTTCCAAAAGCTCAAGATGGGCAGTAACACAAACCTTCCAAACCCTCACTTCAAAGTTTTATGTTCCCTCCAGCCATGGAGGCAAAGAAAAGTTGCCATGAATATTCACGGAAGCCTGTTTTGTAAAATGATGCTTTGTTGTATGTCTTCACAACAACAGTTTATTATCACGCCTACTGCCTTCTCTATCATGTTTTATGAACTTCTGACAACAGCTTACAAATGCTACACCAAGTATCTGCTTCCAGATTCATTCTAAAAAAAGAATGCCTTGCATGCTAATCTTTCTCCTGTCTCAGTATACCAAAAATGAAAATGCATGGCAGCATTCAAAAAGTAAAGCTGAACAAACTATTTATTTGTTGTTGTAATTATTTAATGAGCTTTTGTATGTGTTATTTCCCTCCAAAATGTTCTTGTGTTTATAGCTTTTCTCATGTATCAAAGTATTCTGCTATGATTTGTGGCTGGATTAGAACATACATTTTGTAGATAATGTAAAATAGATGTTCTAGCATTCTTGGTATATATATTTTCATTTTGAACATTGATAGACTTAGGTGTTATTTTGAACTACCAATATAAAAATTTGTTTTTTCATTCTCCACTTCATATTATTTTTGTTTAAAAGTGTGCAATCAAAAGACAGATATGACTTCCTTTCAAATTCATTGGTTTCTTTCTTTTTTTTTTTTTTTGTACAAAAAATAAACACTGCTAAGAAACTGTATTGTCTGTCTCTATGTACAAAAATATACACATTTTAATCAGTTACAATGCTTAATCTTAAAAAGTGGGAAAACAATCATTATTTGGTCCAAATTATCTATCCACGAGATTTAATACAAAATAATATTTCTGCAGATTCTTTTGAGATGTAAAAATCTTATCTGATGGATTAACAGATGGTGCTCATTAACAGTCCACGCCAGGTTCATATGAACCAATTGTCAAGCTGTATATTGCAGAAGTGTGTATTTGGGAAGTTTTACAAGCTAGTAAAACATCACTGTTTTTCTTACAATAAAGATGATGATCAATTCAAAAACAAATGGCAAAAATAACAGACCACTTAATCTTTCCAGTGTAGTGTTCAGCATTATCTGCAGATATTACAGGACATATTTGGAAATCGAACCAATTCACCTCTCAGCTCAAAGTCCACGAATCATGTCCTTATCTTTCAAACTATATTGAGATAATATGGATAAGATTTCACCAAGGTTCATAAATTATTAACTTTTATACCCTATTTGCATCCAAAGATAAGACAAGAACAGTGTAATGGAGAACTCTTGCCTAATAAGGCATCGCACAAGCTCTCTTTAACCTCCTCTTTGTTTTCTCATTCCACCTCACGCTTTAATTTCAAAAGATTCATTGTGAAGTTCTCAGCTGAGATCCTCCTTGGTTGTGTCAACAGAAACTGTTTGAAAACCATTGCTACTGCTTGGCTTACTGAATCCTAACTTTTATGTACAAAATTTGATGATTTTTCCTCGAGAATTCTCTATAGGGAAGCCAGCAGAAGCCTTACACATTTGTAGTGATTTAACTTCAAACTGCCACCTGAGGTAGCTAGGCTCTTTCTTTGGGCAGGACTTTGGCCTTTTGCATGGGAGACGAACAGGAAAGCAGAGTCAGAAAGAGGTTTGCCTTGATTAATTTTCTTAAGGCATTAAGAGGTGACATATTGTCACTTATTTCCCACACAATCTGCCTTGTATTTCATCCTGTTAGATTTGAATTCATATGGGCCCATACAAGGGTCCAGAAAACAGGCATTATATAAGAATATCCAACTAGTTCCTTCAACATTGAGCATCTCCAACATGTAAAGTTGTCAGTAGTACATAGACCATTGGTCTTATGTCTACAGTGGAGAATCTTGCCAAAGCTTCAATGAGAAAAACAGTACTGTTTAAACTGAAATAATGAAGCATATGATATACCTTCTTATGTTTGTTTCAGAGTTAAAAAGGAAGGACATGCTAGATTTTTCTTAGTTTTCACCTAAAGTATTAAGCCATATAGATGCGGTAAGCATATAAATGTTTTGAAAAAGTACACTGTAGAGGCAGATCTGGTAGGTAGTATTTGCACAGATTGGATCATGAAATAGTCCAGATTTATTGCAATGAGAGTAGACAGAAGTTGACTTTCTTGATAATATTCCAGCTTATGAGGAGAGCACTACATCTAGGGAATTCTTAAGCAAGAATTTCTTAATAGTGAATGTAATTTTATCCTGCAATGTAGATTAAGCTCACTCATCTTACTGCCTCATCTTCATCAAGGAAAGAAATATTTGTGATATCCTTCTTGGTAGATGGACAATCAGTCTCAAAAAAAGGAAGACAATCTTCACTTCCACAAAATGTGAATTTTCTCCAATTTAACATTTGAGAAAAAATAGTGATTTTTTAAAAATGTGTATTTAAACATCTTAAAAAGAACTGAGGAGTTTTATAAATTCTCATAATTGCTTTAGAAAACTAAAAGTGCATACATCAGAAATAGTCTATTAGCCTGCCATCATTATTTCTTTACTTTCCCTTTGATGAAAATTGTTCCTAGCTAAGAGGTAAATTGTTTTATAATGAATAAAAATCAATTTTCTGCAGATATCACTAGATATAAACTTGACTGATGCTGATTGTTTTGCTAGCGTGGTAGCACTCAGAAGCACACTGAAAAGAGGCAGTGGTAGATAACAGGTGCCATTAAGGCATTATCAATCATGGAGGTCACAATGGCTTGGCATTTGAAGTTCAGACTAGAAAAGCCCACTGAGAAGTTTATTTATGCATTTTTTAGCAACAGTAATGAATCCCTTCTTTCCAGCAACCCTGGAATCAAAAACAGTTCAGTCAATTGTTTGGAAATAAAGCAGACATTTGAATAACACACCATTCAAAACACCTAACTGGCAGTGATTTCTGCCAGTAAATCACTGTAGTCCTCCTAACCTTAACCTTTATATCCTTCCTCTAGAAGTGTAGCACTTAGCAAGAAAGGATGGCTCAACATTCCACTGTGGGAGTCCTGTTGCTACAATATTAACCTGGAGGTGTTCACTGGAAAATTATAAGGAATCCCTAGTGTTGGAAAGTGTCCTATTCTCATGATGCATTTCCAACCCCTTAGGCCAGGCAAGGGGCTTTGATTCTAATTTTGTTGACATACATATAAACATAGCTTCAGGCTAAAACTGAATTTTCTCTAGAGATTTATGAGTTAAACAGACATTCTATCAGTGAATTTGTTAATTTTACCCAGACGTTTCCCTCACAATAAAAAGCCAGGCCCTCCATCTTTCTGAAAGACATCCAGACTTTCAGTTCACTTGTCATATGAGATATGTGCACTGGCACACTAGAAAAATGTGATATTGCCTACCACTGAGTTAATATGCAAATAACTACCCTCCTCAGTACTCCTGTGACAAGTAAATGCTTTTATTTTGTATAATGGTCAAGCTAGATGCCATGAAAATAATTAGGCTCTATTAATTGCTGACAAAAGTATCTACAAACACGGGATTGTAATTCTACTTTGGAGAGTGTGTTTCTGGTTCCTTCACTTTGGTTTGACAACATATCATAGTGAATGAAGTAACGTTACACCATGTAGCTGGAATTCAGGCCTTCTGAATGCCTCTACACAATAAAAAAGAAATACAGACGACCTCTTAATATAAATGAAAATCAGGACCATTTACTATGGCTGTTTGTGGAATATGGTACTCCATGAACATAAAAGGAAATTTTTAAAAAATCAGATCCTTAGGAGGCCTAAATCAGAATTTACTGTAAAAATAATAAAATTTATCTTTATAAAAATTAAAATTTATACTGTAAAAATAATAAAAAATAATAACATTTAGCAAACCTTAAAGACAACATACATTATTGAGCAGAGAAAGTTGTTACTATCTACTTAGTAGTAAATTAAAAAATAACAAGTCATCCAAAAATGTTTTGTTGAACACTTTGTCAATTTCTTGTCCCTTGCTTTGTTTATAGTAATCAAAATTAAAAACTAACACATACAGGCATTCCAAAAAGAGATTCAAAATAGTTCTGTACCAAAAAGCAATTGTGCTGGTGCAAATATAGTTCAAAACAGCTAACAGTTTTAATAGTGAGACAATAATACATTATTTTTGACTACTCAGAGGAAAGTTCATGCTTTGCCTTGATGCAGAACTTTCACATTTGATTTGTTTTGATAGACTTGCTGAGAAGTTACTCAGCAGGGAAATTGCAAAACAAAAAAAAACCAAACTTAACAAAAGCAGAGACCAGCTGGTAGAATCTGATGCTTTGGTGAAGCAGAGAAGAGCTAACCAGGCACATTCACTAAAGTTCTTTTATATAAAACAGAGGAGAGTTCATGGAGGGGGCCTAAGAAGAAGAGGAAGTACACATCCAGCCCTAATGCATGAACAGACTCAGAAATGGTGGGACTATGCAAAGTTGTAAAACAGATTCTGTAGCACAAAGACTGTTTTAATTGCAGCTGAAACAAGTTTAAACATCTGTTGCTTGTTAGATTATTATTTAATTTATTTACTTATTTATTCATTTATTTTTGGGATGTGTTGAAGAAAGCTCTTCTAGATTCCCTATGGCCATTAAACTGGGATGAAGAACAGAGGCCTGACTATTTCTAAAATGTAAAGCTGTAATTTTTTCCCCCCCACTGGAAATCACAAAATAAGGAAGAAGATCAGGTTGCCCATGTTCCCCAGGGCTCCATACAACCTGGCCTTGAACATCTTGAACTCTGCCATGATTGGAAGCCTGTTTTTTTTTTTTATAACCAAGATGATAGCATACTGTTTTAACAACTAGTGGCAGCTGTTAAGTCACAATGACAGTGGAAAACAGTCTCTGGATTTTCTGTCCCTCAACTTCCACATCTTCACCCTTATTAGGGCCACCATACATTGCACTCAGGTGGTCTGATGCCCCAATACACAATTTCCATAAGTTAGTACAAGTACAGTGGTGATGCTGAAGCTGAGAATTAAAGCCTACCCAACCGTGGCATTACTTAGCATTTGATCAAAGCACCTAGAAGCCATGAAGATCATCCAGGAGCCAAGTGTTTAAGATTAGAGAGAATAATTTCTAATAAAAATTACATGAGGCTTCCACCTCATGTTCCTCCACTTGCCACTGCACTCCTGAAGGCAGTAGAAGACTTTCTTGAAGTCCTTTAATCGTTTTGAATTTCACAAAAACTATTGCAGTCAGGGACTCTCACCCTTGCAAATTATTGGATGAGATACTACAGAGTAATTTCTTCTGTTTAAATTCTTTTACTTTGCATACACAATGTACCTGAGCTTAGCCCTTGAATTAACTTTCCATATCCCAAAGAAATACTCCAAAGGATTATTCAGTGGAGAAGGGATAAACACGCCACTGGAAATATAATATCTTAGGCCGAAGCTTTAAAAGTGTCTAACATCAAATTAAATCCCTTCCATTTTTTTTTCCTCTAGCACTTGCTCAGAATGTGCTTTTATGCTTTCTCTGTGCATCAAATATGTATAGGCTCTAGAAGAAATGTACCTTCCAGAATCATGTAAAACAATGCCAAAAGTGTGACATAAAACACAGATAATACAGCAGGTTAAAATCAAA